AGTGCCCCTCCTCTTAGGTTTTGAAGTTTGATTGTCTTTGCAAAATCCTCCCCATCGTGTCCACAGTACTACATAGCTTGTAAATCTGACACTTCTGAGAACTTGGTCTTCATAGGTGTGTGGAATATGTTGAACCACAGTGAAATCATCTCACACTTGTCCAGTTTGCTAAGGCCTAGAGAGCAGTGAGGCCTTCAAAATACTATAAGATTTGAGGTACATGCTAAAACCCATTCATTAGGTGGGCTTCTATAATGGAGCTGAGGTTCTTACATCATCCCTGCAAAATTCCAAGTGTCTTTCAGAGAGGCTGTCAGGTGAGAAGACCTGGCTGCCAGGTGGGAACAAGCATGATTTAGACAAGGGACCGCTTCTGGAGGAAATAGAAGCCCAGACCAAGAGCAAACGTGTCTGTCTTTCAGGAATTAGTCGAGGCAAGGATGTGTGTCCAAACAAGGCTCTAAGAGCTGAGTGGGAGACATATGGCAAAGACAAGCAGAGTAGCATAAATTGGGTCCAGAAGAGGCATGGTCAGTTCTGAGAGGCAGCCTTGCTAGTCGGAGCTAAAGAGCTGTTTGGGTGCCTACCCCCCCCCCGCCCCCACTGGGAATGTACCTCACCTATTCCTTTGTTGACATTTTACTCATGCTAGAATCTTAATTTAGATGTAATTTACTTGCAAAGCCTTCCTGAGCCTGGGAAATTTAGACTTGATTGGGGAGAAATTGGCAGACAGTCAGCGCTTCTAAGCAGGGGGATTACATAATGAGATTTGCCAATTGGCTCCATCATGCTGGCTGCAGTGTGGATGATAGACCAGAAGGGGTCAGAATGGAGGCTTCTGTAGGCAGTGCCAAATCTAGCATCAAACTGGATCTAAATACTCCCTCTATTTGCCCTTGCAAAGATACAGAAACAGAACTTAGTGGACCTGAGGCATTGATGAAAATTCTGTGTCGGCTATCAGCGACTGAGTAATGGCGCTAGGAAACGATCATAGTTAGGTTCCCTAGGGGACAGACACTGTGCATGCAAGGCATTTCTGGGGGTGTGCTCAGTGGACAATACCTGTGGGGTAATGACTGGTGCATTATAATTATACATCTGTGTGCTTGTTTCCCCACCTAGACTATATCCTCTGTGTAGGCAGGAAGGTGTCTACTCTATCATTGTATCCCTAGTGCCATGTCCAGTGACTGGAACATAATAGGCACCCCACAATTTTGTTAAATAAATGAATAAAAAGTAGTAAATTTAAAAAAGCCCTAAGTAAGGAGGTAGCAATAAAAAGAGAGAAGAGGGCATTTTTTATATATATTTAGGTGATAAAATCAACAGGTCTTGGTGACTGATTGACTAAACATAAGAATAAGAGTGAGGAAGAGTCTAGAATAACTCCTACATTTCCGCATTTATATGTAGACAGAAGATAGTGCTATTTGGGGAGAGAGAAAATGCAGAAGGAAGTTCAGGTTCGAGTAGAGAGAGAAATAGAGACAGCTCAAGTTTGAGATAGCTATTTGATATCCAAGTGCAAATGTCCAGTAGGCAGGTGAAAATAGGATTTGGAGCTCAAGCAGTAAACCTGGATTTGGCAATCATTGGTGTATCACCCAGGATATTCCTTATCAATTTACTTCCTGCCAAGAACATCCTGTAGACCCCCATTGGAATCTCTTTCTATTTTGTCCCCATGTTGCCCCCTTCTGCAACTCAGCGGGTGCTTATATTAGTTTGTCGGGGCTGCCATAACAACAGGAATTTATTTCTCATGGTTCTAGGGGCCAGAGTTCAAAGATCAAGGTGTCAACAAGTTTAGTTTCTTCTAAGGATTCTTTCCTTGGCTTGCAGATGCCTCCTGTGCACACACTGCACCTCTGGAGTCTCTCCGTGTGCCCAAATTTTCCCTTCTTATAAGGTCACCAGTAAGATTCAATTAGGGCCCACTCTAATGGCCTCGTTTTAACTTAATCACCTTTTTAAAGGCCTTATCTCCAAATACAGTCACATTCTGAGATGCTATGGGTTAGGACTTCAAAATAAGAATTTCGCAGATGGACACAGTTCAGCCCAGGAGAGGTTTATATTTCTTCTCATCCTCCTTCCACAGAGCTGCCCCAGAGGCAGCCAGCCCTCACCCTCCAGCAGAGAGCACCAATGTCCAGAGGAGCCTTCCCCTCAAATTCCCACGATTCGGTCTTCAACATGTTATGGAGACAGATGAAAGAGGGGCTGCTTCTGCCAGGGTTGCGGGTGAGGAGGTGGTGGAAGGACTTGTAGGATAAGAGTTCACTGGTTACAAAAGGGAGAAACATTCTAGGCTAAGTGAAGATACCATGATGTTAAACTTCAGAGGACGTCTGGGGACACTTGGATGTAGAGGTTGTAGAGGTTGAATGCGGGGTATGGCAAGAGCTGAAGCAAGAGGGGTTGGCCGAGGTCACGTTTTAAAGCGCTTTCCTGTTGGCATAAAATCAGCCAGTGCTTTATGTGAAGAGACATAAGGAATTAGAGGCTGCTCTGATCACTCAGGCAGGAAACAATGCAATTACTTGTAAAAGGCTGGAAGGTTGGAGGATGATGTCGAGGCAAAGAGCTGGTGGGGGTGGGGGCTAGAGTGGGGAAAGAATACAAAGGGGAAAATATGGGGGAAAGGAAAGGAGAAGGGGAAAACAGGAAGCATCTTGGTCGGATCTAAATACTGAATTCTAGTATCCCAGCTGGTATTCCGTCTAGTTAATTCTCCCTCCTCAAGAAGGCAGGGTCCCTGGATGGGCAAGCACTTCTCTGTGAGGTGGAGGATACAGGGGCCAGAGGAGGTTCTAGAAATCAGGGAGTCCGTCCATATAGAGGGACAGCAGCACAAGCACCACCTGTGATGAAGGGGGCAAAGGATTCCAAGAGGAGCTGGCAAGCTGGCTGAGATCAGCCTCAGCGGGCTGGCCGGGCTGGGCACTGACAGGTCTGGTTCTGACTAGTCATCGAGGGCAGTCAGCTCAGGACTGGGCCTACAGATCAAGACTAGTGACCTGGATCCAACCACACTGAGGACACAGTGGTGGCTGTCAAGGGTTTAAGTTTCCTCTCTTAGGATACAGGGCAGAAAAGCAGAAGGATCAGACACTTGCAGAGAAAAGCAGGCTGTCACTGTGCTTGGTCACTGTCCTCATAGTGAGCTTATGGCAGTGATCAAGGCCAGAGATTAAATGTAAAGAAGACGAAAGAGCCAAGCAAATGATTTTATTCCAACTGCAGGCCAAGGTGCACCAAGCCATTTTTGCTTTCCATTGAGTAAGGCCTGCTCTGAGTGAGGATGGCCACAGTTGGCCACTGAATGTCAGTCAGATCTGGGGTTATCTCCAAAGGGAGCTTAATCTTTCTTTATGAGACCTCTGGCCACAAGAACACGAGGGTTTCCACGCTGGGTCTGCCCCATGGCTCATCAATCCTGATGGGCTCAGGGAGCCAGCTGTGGGCTTTGCTGCCTGTGGGATCCTAAGAGTTAAGCTCTCCAACTAAGACCGGGGATGGGCAATTAGCGTGGAGAGGCCAGTGCCTATGAAGCTGGTGACTGAAGAGAGATTGGTGTGGGCCTGAATCAGGGGCGGGCAAGTAAGTGCCTCCCAGACGGGACTGAAGGGCTCAGGCCAAGCTCACCGCGGAGACATCAGGGCGACAGCCACGCTGGGCACAGCCTGAGGACTTCACCCTACAGCCATGGCCTCCCACTGCCTTCTCACCTACTCACTGTAATTCCTTAGACTTCCTTAGTCTTGAATGTGTACTTCATTGTGAAAATAATGTAAGCATGCTACAGAAAACTGAGAAAATGATTTCCCACAACACCCCCCCCCCCCCCAAAAGTTAGTTGTGCTACAATCAGAGTTTTACCTCCGCTGGACCTTATCCATCTGAGTTCATAGTCTCAACGTTAGGACTTGAGGCATTCATGAATAAAATCAACCAGAGCTCCTTTAGCTTAAGAGTTGGTTCCAAGGTGCTAGGCGCAAGAAGTTTCTGAAAGAGCATTCTCACTCGGGGAAGGAGGCTGAGTCGGGCAGTATTGTTTCTGAGGATTTGAGAGGAGGGGTCAGCCAAAGTTCACCTCCTTTGGGGAATGGTTCAAAGATGGTTATTGGAAATAGGAGGAATTAACCTTTGGGATGAGGAGTCACTGTTTGCAACCTTACCAGGGGTCAGGGGAGGAAGAGTTAGGGGCCAAGGTCATGTGGAAGACAGGTAGAGAGGAATATCTATCTAATGGAGACAGGGACTTGCAAATGCACCCTGGAAAATTCTGTCTTTTAGTGTCTCTTGCAGGGACCAAATGCAACCCAGATCTTCTGACTCCTGGCCAGAGTTCTTCCCATGTCTCACAGATGCCTCAACCTTCCCCACTTTGGTAGATGATTGAGAAAGAACCATGGGTATTCTGGACCCACCCATGGAAGGAGAGATTGAGGTCATTAAAGGCCTGGACAGCAAAAGCAAAAAAAAAAAGGAAGATTTTACCACTTTGCCCTAGGGACGTGATACATCTTCAGCTGGACCAGGGCCTGCAGGAATTACGTCCTATGAATTGCTGGCCTGTAGCTACAGGAAGAGGATTCTGCTTCTAGAAACTGAGAAAGCTCAAGGACTTCCTTACAAAAGGAGTTCCATGTCCTGATGGCTTGGCTCTGGAAGCATGGCTGTATAGATAGCCATTGTTGTGCCCCTTAATACAATTCCTCTGAGCTCCATCCTCCGATTTTTCAGCTATCAGCCCTGGGGCAACCAGGCCTGTGGCTCCTTGTACCTCTCTCCCCAACGGGCAGTCAGCCCTGTGCACTGGCTGTTCAGAGACAGGGCTGTAGCCAAACTTTCATTTTTTTCCTTGCTGTGCCTTTAAGAGCTGCCAGAATGCAAAGAGTCTGGAGGAGGGGTGGGGTCTCCCAACAGGACTTCTGGGAAAAGGATCCTGGGAATTTTTGCCAGAAACTAAACTGAGATTCCAAGTCAGAGAATTTGGGGGTGGTTTGTGTTGGGTCAGGCCTGTGATTGGACTGCAGAGTCCACTAGGGAGGAGGAAAGCAGAAGTGAAACACAAAGAGCCAAGGAAAGGGGGGAAGCCCTCCCCACCCTCACCCCCACCCCAATGCACGCTCACCCAGGCCTGCAAGAGGGTGCAGCCACTAGCCTGGAGAGGATCAGTGTGTGTGAAGGGTGATGGTAACAGATGGACCCAAGGAGCCCTCTACCCCAAGTCGACCTGCAAGGCCTCCAGGGACGGGCTTGCCAACAGCTGGACTTGATCACCGGCTTGCAAAGTGAGATCACGCATCTGGTGGAATAACAAGCAGGCTTGGCTCTCTGGCTGTTTTTAGAGGATTTTCACGGCAGTGGCTGGAAAGCAGGAGACCACCACCTGGACCCTTGGGTTTTCTTAGAGAGCACAGCAGAGGAGACTCCACCCCTGGGAGGTTTGCAGGACAATGATGGCCCTTTGGCGAGCTTCTGCTGTCCTGGTTCTGTTCCTGGTGGCTCTTCTGCCTCCACCCCAGTGCGCCCAGGACCCGGGCATGGTGCACTACATCTACCAGCGCTTTCAAGTCTTGGAGGTAGGTGGCATCTGTGCACCTGATCCGGGGTGCAGGCCTCCTAGAAGTCACCTTACCTTAGCCCAGATTCCCTATGTACTGGGATGCATGTGCCCCATGTAGTCAATGCCAAATATACTGCCAATATCGCACGTGAGAGTTTTCATAGTCTAGTGGTTCAGAGCACCAACTCCAGAGTCCGGGCTGTACCACTCCCCAACCACGAGTGGGACTTCACTCCGTGCTCTGATCTAGTGATTTTTCTCATCTGTAAAATGGGATGATAATAGAATTAACCTCCTATGGCTATTCTGAAGATTTAGTAAGTTAATCCATACTTAGGACGTTACCTGGGATGGTGGTAAATGTCCAAAATGTTGTTATTATTCAATAGTTCAATTTTTTAAATATAAAAATTAAAAATTTCAGGTCACTTTTTATTCATGTTTTACCACATCAAGATGGTAGCAGGTTTTTGCTTTTCTTTTTGTCTTTTTATGATAAAACATGAGGCCACTGTAAAAAGTCATGATGTTGTACCAAGAAGCTACATCTTAGCTTCATTGCGGCGCCACGTTTGGGTTTAGAAATGAGTAGATTTCAGCTGCATCAGATAGAAAGTCCTGGGGACGCTTATCCAGGCACGCTTCATTAAAATTCGTAAAAACCCCACATTTTTGCCACACAGACAGGCTCCCAGGGACAAATGTAACCCTCTACCCTAGTCCTTGACATACTCCTGGCAATTATTTCATACCTAATTGCCTTCTATACAAGTTAAATTATTGATCTTCTTCCCAAGACCCTTTTTTCCCCCCAAAGACACTCTTACCTCCAATATTTATTCTCTATATTTTCTTGAAAAATTTTGAAGTCCAAATTAGTTGATCATCTAGTTAAGTAAAATCACTCCAACGATCAGGCTGAACACATTTCCTAAGGTTGTCCAGCCAACCAGCTGAGGCCTGGGGGCGGGGGAGGCGACGTTCCGAGGCCAGCTGCTGCCTCACTTGTTGTCTCCTCAGACAGACCCTCCCCAGTGTGCCTCCTTGAAAGTGCCAGAATTACCCTCAACCGCAATCTCTCTGCCTTTAGCACCGACTCACCCTGGGATTAGCGCCGGCCAGATCCCTGCAGGTTTTCCTCAGGACCTGAAAAGTTGATCTGCAGACAAGGGTATAAAGTACAGACAAGTACTTTGATTGCTATGAATGTGGATTTGAAAAAGATAGGGGTATGGTTTGTATAGATCTTGCCATCCTGGTCAGGATCTGGAGGGGAAGTCAAGTCCCAAGGGTGGTCACTGATGGCCAGTGTGGACACTTACAAACAAACTGATACAGTCCTCACCCTGACGGATTCGTGTCTGAGGGGTACAAAAGAAATAAGAGGATCTATTTAGGGAGTTTCTCTCTCTCTCTCTTTCTCTCTTTCTACCTCTCCCTCTCTCTTTTCCTTCAAAGTGAACAGTCTTACTTACTGCTGTTTGGAGTCTCAATTTTTACAACTTTTATGGAGAGCATTTTGATAGACTGCCAAACGAGCTTTAAGTATACGTCCACTTTGACCCAGTCACCCCATTTCTGGTCTTCATTCACTTTATTCTTCCTTTAGTAAATATTTATTAAGTACTATATGCTAGGCCCTGTGCCAGGTGCTGGGGATGGAGCTTACTTCTGGAAATCTACCCTAAGATAATAACCAGATAAGTACACGAAGATGTAAATACAAAGATTCTTTTCAGCACTGTTGAAAAGTCCATAAATGTCCATCAAAAAGAGTCTAATAAAATAAATAAAAGGACATCAATGCAATTGACTTCTGTATCATTAAAATTATTGTATAACTATCTATTAATTAGTATTGAAATATGTTCACAGTGTATTAGCAAGTGAAAATATGTTACAAAACATTATAGTAAAATCACATTTTAAAATATATATTTATATATGTATGATGAAATGCATGGGAAAACTTTAAAAAACTGATACACTCACAAATCAGTGGTACTTTGAGCTAAGGGATTACAGGTGATTTTTATTTTTCCCCCTTACGATGATTTGTACTTTAAAAATCTTCAGTGAGTGATAGCTATTTATATTACTTGGCTAATTTAAATAATGAGCAATAATTTGAGCATTTATTTTCTGACTGAAGCAAGGACTGGAAAAATGTACCCAAGCAATGAGGGCATACATTCAAGACTTCCAAGAGTTCTCAAAAAACATAACCACTATGCTGGGAAGATGCCAGACCTACACAAGTGAGTATAAGAGCGCAGTGACTAACCTGGCCCTGAGAGTCGAACGTGCACAACGGGAGATCGACTACCTGGAGTACCTGCGAGAAGCTGACATGTGCGTGGAATCAGAGGACAAGACCCTGGCAGAAAGGCTCATCCAAGAGGAGGAAGAAGAGAAGAAGATCCGGACTCTGCTGAATGCAAGTAAGGGAACTGTGTCTTTGACAGCTCTTCTAGGGACTCACATCAGAGACACAGATGCAGCACAGATGGGAGTCTGGCCAAGTAGGAGAGTAAGAACCCGATGTGTGGTTTTGGGTGCAGGTGCTGGGAGAGAAACCTTAGCAGAGAACAGGTGTCTGAAGGAAAAGTCATTCTCAGCAGCTTTTCATTTCACAGAGAGTTCCTAAAGGCCCCATGGAAGGTCAGAACTTCAGTGTCAGAGGTCAGCCCAGAAAGGGAATCTCCAGATAGCCCTTGGTTTGGAAGAGATGTGTAGTCCCAGATCCTTCCAGGGAGGGTGGAAGGTTGGTGGATTCTCCCAGTACCCTGGGAGTAGGGAGCGGCTACAAATGTGCCAAGAAACAGTCTGAAACTTTAAATGGCACCAGCCAATCCTCAGGGCTGGGGACTGCAGTGAATTATTACTGTGTGTATTGTCAGGATGGTGATATTTGGAGGATTTGTCCTAATCAGTGATCCCATTCAAATCACTTCCAGGCCATTAAGAATAATGGTTAGGAGCTCAAATTATAATAATAAGTATCAAGTAAGAAAAACATAAATGAGAAAGAAAATTTCCTATCCATTTTATCAAAACAATGAGGGAGACAAGTTGCCCAGCTCAGAGTCTGTATTCTGAGATGGTTTCATTGCAAATAGGAAAACTATTTATATGTTAATTATATCTGCCCCCAACGCAAGAAACTCCATCAGGGAGGTAAAAGCTGAGTGCCATCATTGTGCCAAAGATTTCATACATCTTCTCACTGTAATCCTGATAAGAACTCCATGGGTCATTATAAGAAGAAGGGTTTTCCTAAATGAAGTGACACTTGGTCTGAGTTTTGTTCTGAACAAAGCGTTAGAGAAGAATGAGCAGAGGGCACGTGAGGGGCAGGCACAACCTACTGAAGGCATGCGAGTATGTAACCCTTAGCATGAAGATCTGCAGATATGTCTGAGTGGAAGCTCTGTGGGGCAGGTGCATTTGGGGAACAAGAAACAAGACTCAAGGGTTCAGCAGGACCCAGATAATGAAAAACCTTGCATGCAAAGCAAAGGGGGTTGAACTTGACTGGAAAAACAATAAAGAACCACTAAACCATTTTCAGCAGGGGCATGACATGAAGGAAGAGGGCGAGACTTGAGAAAGACCAGTGGGGGGGCTACTGTAATTTGGAGGACAAGTGATGGTGTCTGCATTGTGTCATTGAGATGGAGAAGGGCAGATGGATTTGAGAGCCATTGAGAGTTGGAATCCCCATGGGTTGGCAACTGATAATTAAAAGTGAAAAATGAGTGAGAAGGAGAAGTCCAGGACACTTTCCAGATTTTTGGCTTAGGTCACTGGGTGATGGGTCTCAAATATGTTGAGATAAGAAACCCAAGAGGAGTTTTGGAGCACTTATTATTCCACTTTTTTTTTTTTCAGAATGCTTATTACTCTGAAATCTTCTAGTTTATTTATTTGCTCACTGCTTATTTTCTGCCTCTCCATCTAGAAGGTCAGCTCTGTGAGAGCCTGGATCCTGCATTTTATGTTCAATGCTGTATCCCAGTGCCTAGAATAGTATCTATGATCAATGCATATTTGTCAATGAATAACTAAGTGAACTAATGGATAGAGGGAGGTTTGTCAACACAGAGGGGTTATTAGGTTTTGATAGAAAAGAGAACATCTTAATGCTGAGGCAGAAGGCAAAAAGAAGGGTGCCTATCTGAAATATGAAGCAATTGATCAAGTTGGTTGAATGAGTAAACGATTCTTTTTGGCTCTGACGTTGTCTTGAGATGAACCACCCTCTGAGAGGGAAAAAGGAGGAAAAGGGTGAGGGTGATCCATCAGAGGATGAACAGAGGCTGCCTAAAAAGCTGATGGGAAGGATTGAGTACCAATGTGACCTGAGCTGGAATGTGCCTGAACTTTCATGCCAGGGGTCAGCAAGGACCCCAGTCCTGAATGGTGATGGTAGGTTAGATCCCTGAGCTGCTCCTGGTCCCTAGACCTGCTAAGCCTCTCAGGTCTTGGGATCACCCCTTTCATCTCCAGCTAGAGCTCAGCAGAGGTCCTGATTCTGAACTTGCTGCTCTTTCAAGCCTTATCCTCTGCCTCATCCCTCCAACACTGGAGGCCTGAAGTATTCCTTCTCCCAGCTCCATGGTGAGTGAAAACTTTCAACTTTCCACGATTGCTACTTCCATGCCTGTTGCCTCTGGAGCCCTCATTTGATGATGTGTTGGTTTAAGATTCAACAAATACTCTTGGCCCCCTCCTACTGGATGGGCCGTGTGCTACACGGTAGGGATAGAGGGCTGAGCACATGGTATCTGCACCCTATGCTGGCTTTCTTTTTTTTAAAGATTTTATTTATTTATTTATTTATTTATTTATTTATTTTTAAGATTTTATTTATTTATTTGACAGAGAAAGACACAGCGAGAGAGGGAACACAAACGGGGAGTGGGGGAGGGAGAAGCAGACTCCCCGCCGAGCAGGGAGCCCTATGCGGGACTCGATCCTGGGACTCCAGGATCATGACCCGAGCCAAAGGCAGTC